CACTTGCATTCACGTCTATCTGCCTCCCATCACATATTCGTGCGTTGCATGCGTGGTGTGAGCGTGTGCAAGAATTTGTGTTTGATGTGGTTTGGTTTTTCTGAGTGTGTGTGAATGTTATTTGGCTTGAGCAGATATCTGAAGTGACTCCACTGCTCAAGAGCTTTCCGACGAACCAAGTATCGCTTCAAACGGAGCACGAACAAGAAAGTTACGAACGTTGGAAGTTCGTATGCTTTTGATATTTGGTTGTGGTGACTATGGGAAGTTGTGGGGTTGACTCCATCAGAGGTAAAGAATTTTGGGGGTTGGAAAATTCGTCAACATCACTGTAGATGTTGCCAAGTGGTTGGGAGGAGCCAAACCAGGTTGGCAAGTGTGGCCAAGTTGGGCAAGGTGGATGGCATGGGTTGGAAAGTGACAAAAGTAAAAGTGGGGTTCCTATAGAGAAGGGATTTGGTGTGCTTATGGTGTTTCCTTGGTTGGGGACTCTCTTGGGACCTTCGCTCTCGTCCTCCTCTTCCCTCCTATCTGGTTTATTGGTACTCCAACTTTCTTGTGTGAAATTGTGAGACAATTGTGATTGAGTTAAGATTCTATGGCAGCTTACCCCCTAGTGCGCCGAAATTCATAACTCAAGAAATACTTCACCTTATCGTACGATTCAAATTGGGAATTGTAGCCACGGACTATAGCTACAACATATCTGAGTTTAGTGAAGTTTTGACAGTGCACTTTCTGTCGACGACGTTTCTTGTGAACTCGACTTTTCTGTCCAGAAACTAGGCCCAACGATTTTGAGATATTTAGGCCCCTAATCTTCGTGGACCTCGTTCTTAGTTTCTAACAACAAGGGGCCGGCAGATATTTGGGAAGGCGAACAACCCATTCAATGGGTAAAGGGAGAGACAGGGGAGGATGAGGAAATGACGGAGAGAGTGAGGGCGAGGGGACATCACTACAGGTGGTATCAGTAGCAGTTACAGATACAGACCGAGGATGGATGGAAGCTGGTGCCAGCACCTAGTGATCGAGAAGCAGTGATCAAGGAGGTGCATACAAAGCTGGGGCATTTCGGGCATGAGAGGACGGTGCAGCTACTGAAGATGGGGTGGTGGTGGGAGGGAATGCGGAGACAAGTGAAGGGCTGGGTGGAGGGCTATGAGGCATGCTAGAGGAGCAGGGCTAACCTCACCCAGGCCAAGGCTGAATTGCAGTTCCTGCCCATCCGAGGCCTAGGCTTCAGGTGGTACTTGGATCTAGCCGAGGAACTGCATACGAGCTGGGGGGGTAAGCAATACATCGTGCTCATGGTGGAGCACGTGAGCAAGTGGCTGGAGGTTAGGGCAATACCAAGCAAGAGCTCAAGGCAGGTGGCAGCGGCATTCAAGGAGCAAGTGATTTGTAGATTTGGGGCATGTGCAGAAGTCCTCACAGATCAGGGAACCGAGTTTCAGGGAGACTTCAAGAAAGCTGCTGGAAGAGGCAGGGATCACTCACAAGCGCACCTCCCGCTACCACCCACAGAGTGATGGGTTGACAGAGCACCTGGTGCAGACCTTAAAGCGGGGATTGCAGGCGTATGGGGAGAAGAGGAAGCGGGATTGGGATGAGGAGCTGCACTAGATCGCAACAGGATACAGGTTTGGGAAACAGGCTGCCTTGAGAGACCACTCCCCATATAGCCTCCTATATGGATGTGAGCCGTTGCTGCCAGTAGGAGCAACCCGGGTCCTCACAAACACAGTGACAGCAGGCACCATAGACTATTGGGTGGCGCTGTCGGAAGCTAGAGCAAGGTACCTGCGAGTGATGATGCCGGTTGCGTTGGAAAACCTCCACACCGCACAGCTGAGAGGCGTCAGGCGCTATGAACAACGGCAGTAGCAAGGGGCGGGGAGTAGAGCACAGAAGGGAGTGGGACTGGGGCACGAAGTGTACCTAAGGAAGGCAAAGCAAGATACATTGGACGTTGTGGTGGGAACAGAAAGATGGAGGGTAAAGGAAGTACGCCCCTCAGGGATACTGGTGTTGGAGAACGAGAAGGGGGCACAACTGGAAAAACGTCAGACCAACACGGCCGTAGTAAGGGGCAGCAAGCCTCAGCAGAGTGGTCTAAGACACGAGCTCGAGCTGCTCGAGCACGGGTACAGGAGGGGGCAGGGAGTGACTGAGGCAGAGCAACACGAAGAAGGAAGCGGGAGGGAGACAAGGGGGAGGAGAACAGGTGCTGCAAGGGGCACGGTCCTACAGGCAGAGACGGTCAGCAGAAGGGTTAGTGTTGGAAGGAGCACTGATCTCCGACAGCTATCACCGCATATGCACTTTATGCACATGCAATAACAGTAGTGAAGGGGTAAAGGGAGTAGTAAAGGGGATAACCGTATATGCATCTCAATTAGAATAATGTGTGGTGTAGAGTGTAGCAAGGTTACTGTTTGACTAGGTGTAGAAGGAGGGAACGGAATGGAAACAAGTGGGGATTTTGGGGGGGAAAGCATCGAAGGGCGAAATGTGTGACGAAGGGCGAAATGTGTCCCAACCCCGAGCCGCGCAGTGGGGAATGGGCAGCACAGGGTTGGGCTAGGTAAGATCACACACGCTCCTGTATTCGTTGCTTGTTTCTTGTTATTCTCTCGTATCAGTGGAAGTTAGCACTCTAAGCTCGTAGCACACAGTGGTACGCCACTAGGAGGGAACCAGTGGGGTGAGGGAGAGATCCCATTCATTGGGAGTGACTGAGGCAGAGCAACATAAAGAAGGAAGCGGAAGGGAGACAAGGGGGAGGAGAAGAGGTGCTGCAAGGGGCAAGGTCCTACGGGCAGAGAAGCTCAGCAGAAGGGTTAGTGTTGGAAGGAGCATTGATCTCCTACATAGCCTATGCTGCTGCTCGATCTTCTGGGGGCAGCCTATTCTATCGTTGGTTCTGCTGGGGGCAGCTTACGCTAGCACATGTGGAGTGCGGTTCTGTGCGGTTGTGTGCGGTTTCAGGGGAGCTAGCACAGATGGAGTGCGGTTCTGTGCGATTCTAGGGGGGGTTAGCACGGGTGGAATGCGATTCTGTGCAGTTCGAGGGGAGCACGGGTGGAGTGCGATTCTGTGCGGTATTAGGGGGTTAGCACATGTGGAATGCGGTTCTGTGCAGTTCCAGGGGAGCTAGCATGTGTGGAGTGTGATTCGGCGTGGTTCTGCGTGTTTTGTGCGGTTATGTACGGTTCTGCGGGCACGGGTGGTAGACTATGGTTTCCAGGTGTGCCTAGTTGGTGGGGTTGAGGCTAATTGGTGGAGCGGCGGGTGAGGCAGCTCGTGGGGCAGCGGGTGTCGGGTGGGGCGGCGGGTTTCAACTCGTGGGGAGACGGGTGACAGGTGGGGTAGCGGCTAACAGATGGGGCGGCGGGTAAGGCAGCGGTTAAAGGGTGGGGCAGCGGTTAAGGCAGCAGGTAATGGGTGGGGCGACGAGTTGCACATGCGCGCGGCTGCTGCTGATGCGTGCGTACGACTAACAACGGGACCGCGGGGCCCACTATCCAAAGGGTCGCGGGGCCTGCTAGCGAACAAAGGGGCCGCGGGGCCTGCCAGCGAACAAAGGGGCCGCGGGGCCTGCCAGCGAACAAAGGGGCCGCGGGGCCTGCCAGCGAACAAAGGGGCCGCGGGGCCTGCCAGCGAACAAAGGGGCCGCGGGGCCTGCCAGCGAACAAAGGGGCCGCGGGGCCTGCCAGCGAACAAAGGGGCCGCGGGGCCTGCCAGCGAACAAAGGGGCCGCGGGGCCTGCCAGCGAACAAAGGGGCCGCGGGGCCTGCCAGCGAACAAAGGGGCCGCGGGGCCTGTTCCTACGGTTGATCGACAAGTGACGGGTGGGGCGCGCGTAGGAAACAGATGGGCGACGGGCGACGGGAGGGGAAAAATTAACGGGGGAAGGGCGACGAGAGGGGAAAAATCGATGGGCGACAAGAAAGCTACGGGCGACAGGGTGGGAACTGACGACGGGCGCGCTCCGGGCGACGGGCGACGGTCTACGAGGCGCGCATTACGACGGGGCGCGCGTTAGTACGAGGCGCGCGCTACCGAATTTGGTGGGCCCTTACTCTATCGAGAGTGAAAACGCTAGGGGAAACCCTAGCTAGGGAAACCTCGCTCTATACCATGTTAAAGCAAGGGTGCACATTCGGGGGGGTGGTTTTTGGGGATATTGTCATGTACACCCTAGCAGGGCCAGTGATTCGCTAGCGAAATTTGGATCGGGTTGTTTGCCAGGTGCGAGCTGACGACACCACACTAGCGAGGCCTATCGAAATCGCCCAGTGTTTGGGGGAACTCACAGAGAGGGGTTGGGCGGAACGCCTGCCCCTTGCGTTCCCAAAACGCGGAGAACTCCCTGAAAATGCCCCCTTCAGTGCGCGAGTCACCTCAGCTGTAGATTTGAAGCACGCAAATCCCAGCCCATAGGGACTGAGGAAACGGCGATCCAAACGGCGCGACTGGCACTACGACTTGGTTAGTAATCAGCGATCTAACAGCCTCACACGAGTTCCGCATTTCGATCTCACGTGCGTAAGGCCACACTTCGAGTAGATCGCAGCGATGCCAAAGGGTGCGGCGAGGGGCGAAGGAGTAAAGAGGATTTTGATGCACCACTACCTCGCCGTGTTTATGGCGCCGTGCACACCCGCCGCGACGGCGAATTTCCTCCGCTGTGCATCACTCCCGCGCCCTGCGTCATGCACTGCCCCATGACACTAACAAAGCCGCCCATAAACAGTCACGCCTTCGCGGCGTTGCGGCGCAGTGTAAGGTGCGATGACAAAAAATCCACAGCATTACCACGTCGCGACAAAGTGGTAGGAGGGTCGGGTGCAAGACGTCGCGGCCTCACATCCTCGTCGCCTCCGCGCACGGGCTTCGCCCCCCCGTCCACACAACGCCGAAAAGCCGCGTAGCACACTCGTCGACGTGGCGTCTTAGCCTCGCACGTTAAATAGCCGACTCCCCGCCACGCCCACATGCATCCGCCTGCCGCATCGCAGCCGCATCGCCCAGAAGGCACACATGCCCCCACCTTCTTCCCCTCTCAGTTCAGTGCCTCCCCTCTCTCATCCCGTCCACCCCTCACCACCCCCTCCCTCCCCTCTCTCATCAGTCCTCCCTCTCTAGTCCCTCACTCTCCTCTCCCATTACCGTCCTCTCCTCTCGCATCCCTCCCGTCCCTCTCTCCTCCCATCCCCCCCTCTCTCATCCGTCCCTCTCATTTCTCATCCCGTCCTCTCCTCTGTCAACCCTCACTCACCTCTCTCGTTACGGCCTCCCCTCTCTCATCCCTCCCTCTCCTTTCCCATCCCGTCCTCTCATCTCATATCCCTCACTCTCATCTCTTATCCCTCCCTCTCCACTATCATCTCGTCCTCTCCTCTATCATCCCTCCGTCTCGTCTCTCATCCCTCCCGTCCCTTTCTCCTCCCTTCCCACACTCTCTCAACCCTCCCTCTCCATTCTCATCACGTACTCTCCTCTCTCGTCACGGCCTCCCCTCTCCCATCCCTTCCTCTCCACCAGCATCCCGTCCTCCCCACACACATGCCTCCCTCTCCTTTCCCATCCCGTCCTCTATGGCTCATCCCTCGCTCGCATCTCTCATCCCTCGCTCGCATCTCTCATCCCTCGCTCGCATCTCTCATCCCTCGCTCTCATCTCTCATCCCGTCCTCCCCCTCTCATCCCTCCATCTATCGTCCCTTCCTCCGCTCTCTCATCCCGTCCTCCCCTCTCTCCTCCCGTCCTCTCCTCTCTCCTCCAGTCCTCTCCTCTCCCATCTCGTCCCCCCCTCTCTCATCCCTCCCTCTCCACTCTCATCCCTCTGTTCGCCACGATGTGGGATCCCCGCCGCCGCTGGGTGGCTGCCTCGCCACCCCGCTATTGCAATCGGCGCCACGCCGACGCGCCTCCTCAACGGCTTGCGTCGTCCAGGTCGCGCCTCATCGCCTACGCCTCCACCGCCGCCTCGTTACCTCCAAGGATATAACCCGCTCCCACTTCTGTTCCCATCTCTCCCAGGGTCGCAACTCCCTTTTCCCCCAAGTCGCACTTCCCCTTTCAGCCGGCTCGCACTTCAACTTCCCCACAGCTCGCTTATCGGCTTCACCCCATGACGCAGTACCTCTTCACCCAGGTCGCTCCACCCCTTTTCGACGGGTCGCACTCCCCCTTCCCCTCCACTTCCCCTACCCCCGCAGGTCGCTCATCCCCTTTCTCCCCGGTCGCCATTCCAACCCCCCCCCCCAGGTCGCACCCCCCCTTTCCCCCATGCCACACCTCCCTGTTCCCCCCCACAGAGCACCTTATCACTCCCTCACAATGCACTACCCCTCCCATCCCTTTGCTTCCTCTCCCCTCCAATCCCTTTTACTATCTTCGCTTCCCATCCCTCCCCTCCCCTTCTACAGGCCTCCCTGCACTTCCTATGCCCCTCTCCTCACATCCCTCTCCGCTCTCGTCCCGTCCCCCGCTCTCCCCTCCCTCTCCGCTCTGATCCCTTATTCTGCTCACTCATCCCTGCCCCGCCATCCCTCGTGACATGTCCTCCCCTCTCTCATCCCTCCCTCTTCACTCCGCTCGCATCCCGTCCTCCCATCTCTCATTTCTCGCGGAACTCTCTCATCCCGTCCACCACTCTGTCATCCCGTCCTGCGCTCTCCCATCCGTGACTCTCCGCTCTCATCCCGTCCTCCGCCCTCTCATCCCTCCCTCTCTGCTCTCGTCCCGCCCTCCCCTCTCTCAACAACTTCCCTCTTCGCTCTCATCCTGTCCTCCGCCCTCTCATCCCTCCCTCTCTGCTCTCGTCCCGCCCTCCCCTCTCTCAACAACTTCCCTCTTTGCTCTCATCCCGTCGACCGCTCTCCCTCCCCTGTATCCCATCCCTCATCCCGTCCGCCGCTATCTCTTCCCTTCCTCTCCTCTACAATCCCCTCCTCCGCTCCCTCACGCCTCCCTCTCCTCACCTATCCTGTCTGCCGCTCTCTCATCACTCCCGATGCCCGTGTTCCCCACTCCCCCGCAGGGCGCGTCGCCCCTGTTTCTCGTCCGGGCCGTGCTCTACCCCGCGCTGCAGGGTGCACGGGCCTCGGTCTCAGGTGTGAGATACACTGTACCACGTGGTCAAAGCATGTGCATCAGGTGCTTTACCATGTGCCACAGTGAGTAATGCGCCTCAACGGAAGGCCCTCACACGTCCCCTCCGCCCTTCTCTCATCCCCTCCTCCCATCTCTCCTCCCCTCCTTCCCTCCCTCGCCCGCTCCTCCCATCGCTCATCCCCTCCTCCCCTCTCTCATACCCTCTTCCCTCTCTCATCCGCTCCTCCCCTCCCTCATCCCCTCCTCCACACTCTCATCCCCTCCTCCCCTCTCTCATCCCCTCCACCCCTCTCTCATCCCCTCCCTCTTTCTCTCATTCCCGCCTCCCCATCACTCCTCCCCTCCTTCCTTCTCTTATCCCGCCCTCCCCTCTCTCATTTCCTCCTCCCCTCTCTTTTCGCGTCCTCCCCTCTCTCATCCCCTCCTCCCCTCTCTCATCCCCTCCTCACGTGGTCACGGGTGTCATCTCCCAACAAATCTGAATACTCCACGTAACACCGAAATCGGTGGTTCTTCGGCTCCACCTCCACGTCGTCCACCCCCACATCAAGGTTTGCGCCACAAGCAACCCGGATCACGTTTTCTACTGTACGTTGGGATGCAAAACGTCCTACAATAGCTTCAAACGGAAAGGATAACCAGCTGGCTGCCCACTTCCTCAGCACCTCATGCTGTTTTGGGAAACGGCTTGCAAACTCATTGATCGTCCAGTAGAACGCTGCATTCACAATGATTGGGGGCAGGCCGGAGCAAACACGGACACGTCGAGTGATCCTAGGCGGAGATCTGCTCGGAACACTGCTCGTAGACACACCCGACTCCAACGTAGTAGATGCACTGTCCCGCTGCATCTCTTCCTCGGTCTCCTCAAGATCATCCTCGCAAACCATGCGTACCCCTTCCAGCCGACGACGCATGAGAGCCCTACAGCTTGGCCTGCCGGAAACAGTGACAAGGATGAATGTACGTGGGTTAAACAGGTAACTAGCAGTGTGGGGATGTTTTCAAGTGGAGTAGGTGCTGGTGGCGTAGAAATAGAAAACCGGAATGGCTTACCTAACAGGCCCGCCAGTTCGGGCGCGCTTTGCTGTGCCTCTGCCCGTCCCTTGCCGGTGCGACATTCTTATCCAGCCTTTGTTGGTGCGACATTTGTATCGGTGAGAGGCAGGGAGGGGAAAGGGATACCGTTGGTGAGAGGCAGGGAGGGAAAGGAGATAAGAAGGGGGCGAGGCAGGGAGGCAAAGGTGATAAGAAGGGGGAGGGGCAGGGAGGGAAAGAGAATAGGGTTGGTGAGAGGCAGGGAGGGAAAGTGGATAAGAAGGGTGAGGGGCAGGGAGTGAAAGGGGATAGGAAGGGGGAGGGGCAGGGAGGGAAAGGAGATAAGAAGGGTGAGAGGCAGGGAGGGAAAGGGGATAGGAAGGGGGAGGGGCAGGGAGGGGAAGGGGATAGGGTTGGTGAGAGGCAGGGAGGGAAAGGAGATAGGAAGGGTGAGAGGCAGGGAGGGAAAGGGGATGAGAAGGGTGAGAGGCAGGGAGGGAAATGGGATAAGAAGGGTGAGAGGCAGGGAGGCAAAGGGGATAGGAAGGGGGAGGGGCAGGGAGGGGAAGGGGATAAGAAGGGCGAGAGGCAGGGAGGGAAATGGGATAAGAAGGGCGAGAGGCAGGGAGGGAAAGGGGATAGGGTTGGTGAGAGGCAGGGAGGGAAAGGAGATAGGAAGGGTGAGAGGCAGGGAGGGAAAGGGGATAAGAAGGGTGCGAGGCAGGGAGGGAAATGGGATAAGAAGGGTGAGAGGCAGGGAGGCAAAGGGGATAGGAAGCGGGAGGGGCAGGGAGGGGAAGGGGATAAGAAGGGCGAGAGGCAGGGAGGGAAATGGGATAAGAAGGGCGAGAGGCAGAGAGGGAAAGGGGATAGGGTTGGTGAGAGGCAGGGAGGGAAAGGAGATAGGAAGGGTGAGAGGCAGGGAGGGAAAGGAGATAAGAAGGGTGAGAGGCAGGGAGGGAAAGGGGATAAGAAGGGTGAGAGGCAGGGAGGGAAAGGGGATAAAAAGGGTGAGAGGCAGGGAGGGAAAGGGGATAAAAAGGGTGAGAGGCAGGGAGGGGAAAGGGGGAAGAAGGGCATAAGGCCGAAAGGGGAATGGGGGAAGCAGGGCGTAAGGCACCGAGGGTTGAAAGGATGTAGAAGGGGGTATGTCATAGTGGGGAAAGGGGAAAAAGGGTGTAAGGCAGAAAAATCATGGTGGGGGACACAAGGTGTGAGGATGTGGGGGAATGGGGGGAGGATGGGCGGATGGCAGAGAGCGTACCCATGGTTTGGTACGGTGTAAGGAAGAGATGTAAAAGGGGGAAGCACGGTGTAAGGCACACCACGTATGGTGGGGGCACTAGGGTGTAAGGAGAGAGGGGAAAGGGGGAAGTAGAGCGTAGGTGAGAGAGCGGAAAGGGGGAAGAAAAGGGTAAGGCGGTGAGGAAAGAGGGGGAAGAAGGGTGTAAGGCGGAGAGGGGGGAAGGAACGAGGTGAAAGGCCGAGATAAGGGATAAAGGGGTCTTCTCGGTGCATTTTATGGTGGCCCCCTTCATATCCCTTCCGAGATGGGCGCAAGGGTTGCGTCCAGAGCGGAAGGGAGATGCGTTCAGAGGGCGCGACAGAGGGGCGCAGTCGAGGAGTGTCAGGGGTATAGCAGCGACGAAGGAGGGGGAGGAAGAGAGATAGCCGAGGGTGGTATGGCAGAGAAAGGGGTATAGCAGGGGGGAGTAAGGAACCGATTGGGGTTGTGCCGAGGGGTGGATGGGCGGTCGATGCGCATAGCCATGGGAGTATGAGAGTGAATGGGGTGTAGCATAGGGCAGTAATAGTGGGGACGGGCGATAGCCGAGCGGAGCAAGGGAGAGAAAGGGGTATTGCCGTGAAGAATATGGGGTAGCAAGGGGTGTATGTGTGGGGAGTTGTTAGGAGCTTGGGGTATGGCCGAGGGGAGTAAGGGACCTAATAGAGTGTGCGTGGAATGAGGTAGTTGGGGGGCTATTTGCGAGCGAGGGGAGTAAGGGAAGAAGGGGAAGAAGGGTTTTAAGGCAGATATGGTAGTGGGGGAAGAAGGGTGGGGGGAGGTGAGGGAAAGGGGGCCGAAGGTCTACGGCAGTGAGGTGTGAGGGGGCAGAAGTGTGTAGGGAGGAGAGGGAATGGGGGGTAGAAGGGCGCAAGGCAGAGAGGTCAGAGTTGGAAGAGGTGTGTATGCCAGTGAGGGGAAGGGGAGCAGACTGCTGGTAGGAAGAGTGGGGAATGGGTGAAGACGGGTGGAGGCCAGAATGGGCAAGGGAGGAGTTGGAGGGACGGGAGAAAGGGGAAAGGTGGAAGCAGGGGAGTAAGGCAGAGTGGCGCAAGGGGGGAATACGGGCGAAAGGCAGAGAGGGGGAAGGGGGAAGAAGGGCGTATGGAAGCGGAAAAAAGGGGGAGAATGGCGTTCGGCAGAGAGGGGGGGGGAACAGGGGGAGGAAGGGTGTAAGGCAGAGAGGGGGGCAAGGGGAGAGGGGGGCAGGGGGAGGTCGGGTGTAAGGCAGAGAGGGGATACGGGGGAGATGGACGTAGGGCAGTGACCTAAAAAGGGGAAGCAGAGGGTGGGATGGAGGGGAAGCAGTCCAGGAAAGGAGGGGCAGCAGGGGGGGAGTGAGTTGAGGGTTGCAAAGTGGGAGAGGACGGGGTATGCTGCTAATAAACCAGCACGGAGGGGTGACGGAGGGGAGTGAGAGTGGGCGACTTCTTGGAGGAAGCGTGTGCGACGAAGGGATGCGGGGCGTGACCGACGGGAGGGGAGTGGGCGTGGGCGGAAGAGGGGAGTGCACGGGGGCGGACGAGGGGAGTGTGCGCGGGGCGAAAGAGGGCAGTGCGCGGAGGTGGACGAGGGGAGTGTGCGTGGGTGCATGCGCAAAAGAGGGCAGTGCGCGGGGGGAGGGGAGTGCGCGAGGGCGGACGAGGGGAGTGCGCGGGGGCGGACGAGGGGAGTGTGCGTGCGCGACAGAGGGGAATGGGCGGGGGCATGTGGGGAGTGTGCGTGGGCGAACGAGGGTAGGGAGGGGAGTGGGCGTGGACGACAGAGAGGAATGCGCGGTGGCGAATTCAGGGGAGTGTGCGGAGGCGAAGCTGGGGAGTGCACAAGCATGCCTCACGGGATTGTGAGTGATACCTTGGAGGGATCGAGCGCTCGCGATGGCGACACGGTAACGCGTGCGGTGGGGGGCAGTGCTCGGTGTATTTTACGGTTTTGCTTTCCGTTCGGCGAGAATAGTGACGGCGGACGTCCCGCCGCCCCTCGGCCCAAGTCGCGCCCTCTGCGTGCGGCGTTGTGGTGGGAGGCGCGCTAAATGCGGTGCGCGATGTAACAGGCGGATGCGTCGCCTGACAGCGATCGACACTAAAGCCTGGGCGTGCGGAATGGCGGAGATGTGAGGTTGTGGCTACGCAGCGGTTCGACTAGCTAGACTATTCCCGCTGTTTTGTTACTCGTAGTTTCGACCAAGTGATAACCTCGGTAGCTGAGGCACTCCGTCTGCTGTTGCCAGCTTGTTTTGGTTCACAAACTGTACAGCGAGACTCAAGTTCCCAACCCCCAGCAGGGGCGTTGCAGCTGACGACGGGGGAGAGATAGGCCGCGCAAGTCCGCCAACACTGAACTTTGTATGTCGTCGGGGTTCCGTGCACAAACAGGGTAACCACACCAGGCAAGTGATAAACCTTTGGGTCCACCCCCCCCAAAGTGCACCCTTGCTTTAAGATATGAGAATGAATGACTAGAATGGGAAAATATAACAAGTATATATGAAACCTAACCCTAACCCTAACAAACAGAAAGTACACCTAGACTAACAATAGAAGCTATAACAAAGATTGCTTGACACCTAGCGCACCCCGGTGAGACCTCCCTGAGCACTACCGGAGGGAGCACTTTGAATCTTCTTGGTATGACGATCAGGCGACTCAACGGTCGTCATAGTGTTACCCTTCCAGTCTTGGATCAGGTTCTGTCTCGTGGAGGTCCACTCGCTCGTCTTCTGTGCTTAGCTCTAGCTGTGAGGCCGGGATTTACACTGGGGCTATGGCTGCGCAGGAGCTATGCTGGCTGACCTACCTGCTGACTGACTTGGGTGAGCGGCCTTGTTTTCCTCTGGTCCTGTACGTTGACAACAAGGCCATGATTGCCTTGTGATGGGACCAGAGACTGGAGCATAGAATTAAGCACATTGCTCTTCGTTACTTTCTTACTCGAGAGTAACAGCAGCGTGGTCAACTTCGTCTTGCTTACATAGCCTCACAAGGCAACACTGCTGATATCTTCACCGAGGCCCTAGGGTCTGGTGATCATCACCGTTTCTGCACTGCTCTAGGCCTTGTGCCTACTCTGCCTCACTTGCTTGTCTCTTGACTCTGCCTTGTACTGTGATATATATATGTATATATATCATAGTATAAGGATGTATATATATCCTTGCACTATATATATACATGCTTGTTTACTCTTCCTAGGTTGTGATCACTATACTGCTTTTGTTGTTATAACTCTGCATGTGAACTGGCCTTGTGGCTGCTTGCTTTTGCTCGGATTGTGTGGTGATCTTGAGATCCACCCTGAGCTTTGCTTTGTTTCTTCTCTTGACTGGTCTTGTGACCTTTTGTTGTTCTTTTTGGTCCCCACTTCCCCTATGGGGTTGTCCAATTATATTTGTGATATGTTACTGTAGGCTATAGTGGGTTAGCCTTTACAGGGAAAAAACCCATTAGGGTTTTAACTTCTTTGCTTGTACCATTCCTTTCTAGCCATTCCGCTATTCACATCTTTCACATCTTGACACTAACCCTAACAAGTGCAACCACAAATGTCTCCTAGCCTTCTAAGTGTAACCCCAACAACACAAATCCACTTTGGCACACCTCGTAGGCTAGGTAAAGATGCAGACAGGGCCTATCACGCAAGAAACACATCAGAGCGACACGACTAATCCAACCTCTGAGACAAGTGGCCACAAAACCAGACAAGAAGAACATATAGTGTATAATTTGGAATTTAGTACGGTATTACTAGCCCAGCCTCTAAAACAAGAACTGCCACAAGGTCAGTCGATGTGTACAAACAAGTCAGAGATAAAGCAAGTGCATATATCAGCATCCTAACAAGGGAGAACTGTTAGGAAGATAATCACCGGGAATGGCTCTGACTAAGGAGATGGGAGTACAAGTATGAAACCCTAGAATATTGTACCCCCTAAGGCTAGCCCGAATATAGCCAAATAAAGTATAGGGTCCTCGCCATCCAACACAGTATAGGCGAGGACTCTTACTTGGAGACACAGGGCGAGAGGTTGAGCTAATGCGCAGCGTGTCGAACCGCAAACCGCCACAAAAAATGGGGAGCAACCACATGGATCATGGATCAAGCCAATACGGTGCTCAGCAATCCGGGGGAGGGGCCAGAAGCGTGAACGACTGGGTGATGCTCTCCTTACAAAAGAAGTTCTTACGAAGATGGGAGGAAAAACTCTCCTCCGTGCAGACGTCGCACCAAGAGGCCCTGGCGGAACCGTGCGCTTGGCTGGAGACGAACAACGCGGATCCAAGAGATCGAAACAACACGGACGTCTCCCTTGTGCTGAAGGAAAAGACCGTGGTGTAGCGCGTGTAGTCGTTGATGACCAGCAGGAAGTAGTGCTCCCCTCGATGCAGGGAGTGCACGGCAGCGCAAGCGACGGTGGGAGCCGGGGTAGAGACCTCGGGAGGCCAGAGACAAGGAGACACGAGTGCATGCGACGCAGACGCTGCAGTGAGGGGTGACCCAAACGGTGGTGCTAGAGGAGATACGGGTGCGTGAGTAACCGCCACGAGCAAGACGCAACTACCTGACCAGACGCGGCCACTTGAGCAGACTCAGTGTGCAGTGTGTACAGGCTAGACCCAGGCCTCCGAGTAAACGTTGCGAGGTGATCGCCAGTCACTGTGTTTGTACAGATCGTCGCGCGCTCGCCTCTAGGAGTGGTGGTGGTGACCATCATATCCTGGAGGTGAGCCATATTCACCAAGTTTGTAGCAAATGAGGGGAGGTGGACACCTGTAAGGAAGCCGAAAGGGGCTGCCGGACACGGGAGGACAGTGGAGCCGCATGCAACAACTGGGCCAGAGGAGGGGTTGGCCAGGGTGATATGAACAGGTCCTGTGAGCAGTCTGACTGTGGTGCAATCGTGGAAGAAGCAGTGAGACGCGCCTGAGTCTAGCGTGAAGGTGTGCAAAGCCTCCGCAGGAACTGCACCTACGCTAGCAAACTCACAGGCACCTACACTAGCAACCTCTACACTACAAGATCTAGGTATATAAGAATAATGTCCACCGTTAGCACTAGCACGAGCAGTATACATAGCATACATGCCAGCATAGATTTGGTCTCAATCAAGAGCAAACACATCTACGCCCTTCTTGAGCAATTCTAATTAGCCAGGAGTCTTGGACTGCTCACCAAACTCTGCTTGAAAGGCATCATTGAGGCTGTAGAAGCAGCGGTACTCGGTGTGTCCCAGCCTTCCGCAGACCTCTCCAGGGCGGCCCGTGCGCCGGCGGTAATGGCAGCGACCTCCGCCTCCGAGGGCGCCTCGCTGGGCAACCCACTAACGAAGCTGCTTCGGCGAGAGTGTCTTTTGCTGACACTGTTTTCCAGCCCAAAAGCCTCCGCCTCCACCAGCTGCACCACCAGACGCAGCTCCTCGGGTTGCCATACCCGAGCCTCCGCCCCCGCCTGCTCCACCCCGACCGCCACCGGTGCCCCCTCCACCATCCCCACCACCCCCACTGCCTCCACCACCCCCGCCACCTCCACCGCCACCGCCACCTTCACCACCTCCACCACCGCCACTGCCACCACCCCCGCCACTGCCACCGCTAGCGCCCCCTCCACCACCCCCACTGCCTCCACCCCTAGTACGCACACCCTTGCCGCAACGCCTCCCGCTAGGGGCAGACGCATCACCGGGACAAAGGGCAACGCTCTAGGAGCAGAGTAGGGTAGAGCGTACATGGAGCAGTGTGGGGCAGCACTACGGCAGTAGGTACGAAAGTAGGTACAGTACGCGGACTACCTAGTCTCGGACACCATGTTGAGATGATAAGAAACGGGAATGTCTTTGGCTAAGGAGATGGGAGTACAACTATGAAACCCTAGACTATTATACCCCCTAAGGCTAGCCCCACTAACAAAGTATAAACATTTAGTTTTGACAAGGACTTGCGCGAACAAGGCCAAGCTGCATAAAGAACCGCTGATGATCAGAACGATAGAGTGCCTTGGTGAAGATATCATCGGTGTTGGTATCGAAGGCAAAAAAAACCAAGCGTGCATGGCCGCATCGATGCAACTCACGTAGTAGAAAGTATCGCAGTTGGATATGATTCGCTCTACCCTCCAGTCTAGGCTTCTGAAATAGGAGAATCATAACCATGTTGTTTGTGAACAAGCCGGGCCACAACTAGGCAGCTCATTTAAGTATGTGAGCAAGAAATTCATCGAGCGGAGCTCCTGAACAGCCATGGCACCAGCGTGGGTCTCTGCCTCAGCGATGGACGAAACAACCAATGACGAACGAGTAGACATCTACGAGAAAACTCATGCGCCAAGGTTGAAGAGGTAGCCCTGGGAATACCTAAGAGTCTCAGCATCGCCCAGCCATATACGTCAGCATGTCCCGTGAGTCTGTTTGGCTGTCGTCCAACAAGCACAAGTCACATGCTGGATGTGCATGCCAGATACCTCACTACCCGTTAGCAATGGACCACTGCTGGAGTAGGTGTCTCCCAGTCGCAAGAAAGCGAGCGAGGATGCTAAGAGAATAGGCTACGTCTGGGCGAGTGCAAGTCATCAGGTACATGAGGCTCTTCTTGTCCTCTACTGAACCTTCTCTCTTCGTTCGCACTGCCAAGAAGTTGTTCTTCATTCTTTTTAGCTACTCCAAGCAGAGTTTGTCAACGTGGAAACTAAGCTTGAGAAAGAATGACTATGGAAATCAACAAACAAGAAAGATATAGCAAACCCTCACCCTAGTGCTATGACTAAACACAATGCAAAACACCTAGAATAGAACTAAACAAACTATGTATATATATATATATAGTTTGACACACCCCCAT